TAAGAATACCTAAGTAACAAAGCATCGCCTGGCATCTTTGACAAACTCTCTGAGTACTTTCTTCAATGCAAAAATCATTCAAACATTATTTAAATAATTTTAAGCAAGCGCAGCATCATTAAACATACATTTAATTAAATCTTAATAGCATTACTTATTTAGCCTCCAAGCTTAAACCAGTTTATAATTATGTTCAGTCTATTCGACATAATCTTGAGTTCGATGCATGAACATTAGCGGCTTAGTTGCACTATCAATAGCAGACTGTTAATCTGTATTCAGATAATGAAATCCACTAGATCTCACAGCACTGGCTTTGCCTACTAATTGCCGGTAATAGGTTAACACGTTTCGAATTGCTTTGGTTGAATTAGCAATTAGGTGGAGAAGATGGAAGAAGATTACTAAAATTTGTTTTTTATTTTCGTTTTTTTAACCTGTCTGCCTTACTTATTGGTCACGTCAAATGGTAGCAAGAACAGAACCGACGCCTAAGCAAGGGTTTATTTTTTTGTAACAATGGTTCAGTATTTGTGCACAGAGACGATAATAAACTCACTTCCTATCATAATAGGCAAAAAGTGGTTGTTATACTATGTATATGCACTTTAAACACATCTGTTTCATTATCTTGTAGGTACTTAATGATTGAACTGAAAGTCTTAACTATAAAAAGGAAAGCTATATCCCAGGTCGTAGTAGATCCCTTGGTTATACGGGTCAACTATCTATAGAGCTTAGAAAATCGATATTTTATATGCATCGTCAACCATATCATTTAACTATTTATCCATTGATAAAAGTCGGTTTTTATATCATCATCGGAAGCAATAGGTATAAACTAGCGGTTATTTGTGATGGGTAGGAAAGAGGTAGATATGGAACAGAAAGGGATATCTAGAAGTACGGGTAAACGATCTGACTAATCAGTTCTTGATAGCAAGCGATCAGCGCTACCCATGAACATTCTCAACACACAACGATGTAAATAAATTATGATATTTTCGGCTTACTCACGTAATAATTTGATGAGGAACTCGACTAGTTTCAAGCCATGCTAGAGGCTCATGATATAGTCGAGTTCCTCGTCAGATTATTACGTGAGTAAGCCGAAAACATAATAATTTATTTAGTTTGTCTCACGAAATTTACAATACAAACACAACGATGTAATCGGTCGACAGTCAGTTAGAACAACTCCATTTATTTAAAACGCTTTATTGAGAAACAAATTTAAAATTTTAAAATCCTTCCTCATTCACCTGGTAAAAATACAAAAAAAAACGCACCAAAAGATAGACGTAAAAATCTGAACACCTCGTAAATTGTGAACGTCCGTACAAATATGAAAAATGTATTCCACTTTGCAACACTTATCGCGTCAGTACTTACGTACTTGAACATTTTTTCCCATATAATTCACACGCAGACATATAATTCATGTTGAGATAACTTTGAACATATCACTCCCCGGTCTGAAGAGTCCTCGGGGAGTATACACTTTAAATTAAGGTAATTTGAGAAACAACTGTTGTGGAAAAGGGATGTTTCGGGACTTGCATTCCCCAAACGATACGGGAATGTCGAAAACAATTCGCGTATATTGGAACGAAGCTTTGAAATGTCGAGAAAAACCTTGTTACAAAATTGTCCTTCTACTTGTAGTTTTACTTCGTTCTCAGGTAACATCACTGTGTTGGTAAAACTATTGTTTACTACATGTAAGTAGATAATAGATATGTTTATTAACTCAGTTTAAAAATACTTGAAGAAAACCTTACATGAAGTCATGAATAATGCTTGTTATTGACAATAGCTCCCCTTATTAAATGAGATGAAGCCTACCTCCACTACCTACCCCTTTGGGGAAAATCAGTCATTGTTATTTCATCGAGAAAAAACCGAACTAATCAACTAAAAACTTTCTTACCAAAATTGATTCCTATGCCCATACAAATAAGGTTTCCTTTTTTAACATACGGCGTTCGGTTCTCTAATAATAGTTAGGCCTGATCCCTTCCGGCGCAATGACTAACGAAATGGTTCGTCCCTGACATCATTTTTGTGACGTCATCATTTTCTTGGGAGTTAATTTGACGAAAAGCAGTTTCCTTCTAACTACTTCAACTTACAAACTGACGAGTTCAAATAGAACTAGGTTCAGATCAGGCTGGCTCCATTAAACTATATAATAACCAATCACAAAACGCGTATTCGTTTTGTGATTTTATTCTAAACGCAAAATAAACTCGTACTGAGCCCTCAGTCTCTACTGTGTCTGTCAGATACATCAAGTTACTAATTTGAAAGTTAATTATATTAATCCTTCAAATTTTAGTTCGAGGTTTTAGTACACCCACTTTTTACCCATTTGAGTCAAATTTAATCGTTCGGGGAATCCTTTAGTCGAGATTCCAGAAATTCCGTACTTCTACGAACAATATTGGACTAGAATTCTCTTTAGTTAGAAAATCAGATTTCACGTTTAGATGACAAAATATAACACCGCGTTTGTTGATGCCTGATAGGGTACATCAGGAAACATATCTCCTGGTTTCCAATGAACCACAAGTAATTTCGTTAATTGTAATTATGTGTATTGATATCTGTCAACCGGAGATGTCATAGTGAACAATTGAAGTCCACACTGTCCTGAGTAGCCAGTAAGCATTTAACGTAAGTAATTATAATACCTAACTATAAATTTATACAACAAAATATATCACCTCCAATTACATACGACTCGGTAGTGAACGTAGTATTTTACATTGTTAATACTGCTTTTGGGATTAAAAGGTTACTCCTTTTATTCTATTCAAGTTAAAATATAATCTAAACGCAATTTACAAGTCAGAAAGAAGTTATACAAGATCTTGTACAAAGAAGATTAGTATCAAATAGTTCAAATGACATGACAAGTAGACTTTGAAAGACTTGTGAGAGATCATTGTCGGGACGGAATGGTGAAAGCTAATATTTTGTATTTTGGAATATGACGTAATCGAGCTGATGGGCGACATAGTGTTAAGTAATTAACACGGCCCAAATACTCATTACAACAGAAGAATTAAAAACGTTTTTTTTTTTTGAGGATTGACCACCAAGTTCTTCCTCATGCACTTCGAGCCGGAGCCCCCAGTAACAACGTAACAGTTCTCCACAGCACCGTACCGAATCAGCCCTATTGGGCCCTATCTGTGGTAGTCTGATGGCTCTTTGAGGCACGCGCGGAACGCGACACAAGACCGTAGCCGGCCTTTTGTAAAGAAGTCCGTTATTTACTCTTTCCTTTTGAATATGAAAATCGTCAAAACTCTATCCTTAATATGATATGTTATGGAAGTCAGACTTTATTAGTCACTCCCCATACCTAAGCCATTAATAAACCAATAACAGCTTGTTTGTACTATCAACTCTTAGATCAATTCATGAGCAAACAAGCCGTTCACGTTGAAATGCAGTTAGACTGTGTTATTAATGTACATAATAATTTATATACTATATATAGGCCAACAGTCATCCAGATTAAATACCTAATAATACTTAAAAGTGTACATCATAAATTGAGGTGATGCAGAGCTGTACCTGTAGAGAATGTCCAAGACTTCAAGTCCATCACATTTTGTTTATTGTCACTGAAAAATAGTCTAGAACAATACGTAGTTATTGAAGGCTTAAAAGTGTACAAGACGATAAGTATATTATTTATGATTGTGTTTTTTTTAAAGTACCATTGTAGTCCATTGGGTTTATTGCATCTATTGTATCTGGACTACGAATATAGCTAAAGAGCTATATTAGAATCCAAAGGGATTCGGATAATATCTAATTATTAATAAAATGATCATCTACAAACGATCTTAATAATTTATGCTATTAGTAAAAGGTCAATGACTTTACACGAACTTTTTAGGAACATACCCTAAAATTCCAGAATCAAGCTATATTTTTTCTGTTTCCTAGTTTTGTTACTGAGAATTAGATTTTTACACATAAAAGGGTTTAACTGGAAACTGATAGCGATAAAATTTTTCAACGTTTGGGCTAGGTATCGTATATTTTTATTTTTTATTCCTAAAAACAACCATTAAATAAAATATCTATTACACTAGGTACATGATTTAAATAACAAATTGTAACATAGAAATATTACATCCGTAAGTAATAAAACGCAATGTTCGTACTGAAATCATAATGATTAACTCTACGTAGATATTATACTTTTTCACATATTTTTTCTTTTAATTAATATATGACATGTTGGTGATACTGTAAAACTGACCCTGTATTCAATATAAACCGGTTAATTGCCATTTCATTATTTCTGTCTAACCAATAGGAAGTAGGCGTGACGCTATAAAGGTTTTATATATCTTAACTACCATTTTAATACACTATCCTTTTTAAACTCTATAATTCCAATACAAATTTTATCTATAGCCTTTGACTGTATTAACATAAAGATTTCAATAAATCACCGCTATTGTCAATGTAGGTAAACTGATTTATAGCAGTAGTAGGAAATTAATTTCCTTAATATGCCACTAAAATTATGGTTTTCAAAATACGTATGTGCTATACTATATTATTTCTTGTTAATTTTACTGTACAATATATAGTGAGATACATACTGTCTTGATAACTGATCAATCCCTACAAGCCAAGCAGGTTAGTAGTTTGTGTCACCGTAATTAAGATAACAGCAGGCTTTTATACCCGTCGAATAATATAGTATGGGACAAAAAAAATTTTTGACAAAAACAATGTTTTTAAAAAAATGGCTACAACATTACGTTGAGAATTATAATAACACAAAAGGTTCAAACCTAGAATTAATTAAAGTTCTTCTTTTAATATCAATTTATTAATATTAAAGTCAAGAACATATTAAAAACTCCTAGAGATGGTGTTCAGTGTATAAATAACAAGAATACAACCGTAATATTTAAAAAAATATGTTATTAACTAGTAATAGATAATAGAAAACATTATTTTCTTACCAAGAAAAACTTTTTAACTGATCCAGATAAAAATCACTGCACAAATCCGCCAATGTAACTAAAAGACGCGGAAAATTTTAAACAAGTATTCCAATTAAAAGTTTAAACAGTCAAACACGTCACAGATAACACAATAAATAATTTTCCAACATATAACAAAAAAGTTTTTATTGACAATTACACGCACTAATAAAGTCTATATTCTTTATGGTTATATTCGCGAGTTGTTCGAGTTTCGAATTTTGTGTTGGGACATGGCGCAGGCCCGTTTGGAAAGGGCACGAGCGTCGAGCAGACTGGCGGCCGCGGCCGGCGCGCTCACCGCGCATGTGCACACAACCTCTTATAATTTGATATCTCACATCACCGCCCCTGTGACATTCTGTGGTAAAACCTACTCGTAAATTATTCAATTTTATTTACTTATTCGTACGCTTAGGTAGAATATTACGACGTGGGTCGTGAGATTTAAAATTGACGTGCGATTCGCGTGTTAGAATGTTGGCATACTTCGTAAGTACGGTTCGGCAAACTTCCCGTCCTGTCTATAAGTAATAATTTGTCAAACACGAAGCGCTTCCGACAAACGTATTCAAAAACGATGAGTTCGCGGAAATAAAGTTATACAAACTTATGAAGAACTATTCTACCGAGCTTTATACTGAAGCACCTTCTCACGTTTGTTTTAAATGTACTTTAGGTATATCATTTTGTGACCTCCTTTCATCGATTCAATCGTAGAATTGAATTCAAAATCACTCCTCTTGTTATCTTTTAATATTCTGAATTTATTGAACATTTTATTTACTGTTATGAATGAATTCAACAGATATAACATACTTTAAGTGTGATATGAGTGAGAATAAGGTTCATTTTGAATAGAAATAGAAATAGTTGACAACTCAAAAATGTAAAGATCTGTATAAATGATAATTTCGAGTTGGGTCCCATAATAATGATTGGAATATTAAAAGGAATCTTTATCATAGAATTTTGAATCAAATATTCAAGTGAAATGTGTGTAGGTATTCCGACAATTAGCGTAAAAAATATCAAAATGAATTTATGCCCGTAAAGGTAACAAAATTAGTTCGTGGCCATTAAAACAAGAAAGAAATAAAAAAGAATTTCAGTTTTCATTATATTCTGATTCTTAGCAAATAATTACTATAGAAGAACTCCCGTTAAATAACTGGTAACATATGACGTAATAGAACAAAAACAATCGTACCACGGCATATCAATAAAAATATTAAACTTCGTAATCGAAAAGTATTGAAGTAAGTGCGAGCGTAAAGAGATTGTCGCGTGGTAAGCCGACTACAAATAAAGAGGTTGAACAAGCCAGTCGGTTTTGGCAGTTCGCCCGCTCCCCTAGTTATTCCAATTCGTACCGGACGATTCCATCCTTTCTATATAAAACTAGAACATCACTACACAACAGTTTTCATTCTCAAAATTTTGTAGGTACATAAACTTTGACAATAGGACCTCTACCCATGTTGTGTTTCGTCGTGTGAGTGAGGTTACTGGAGGCCCAATTACCCTCCCCTTCCCCAATCTCCCCAATTTCTGAATCCCCAACGATCCTCAAATTCCTAATTCCCAAAAGGCCGGTAACGCACTTGTAACGCCTCTGGTGTTCCAGGTGTCCATGGGCGACGCAGATTTTACTCGTTTACCGGTTTATTCCATAAAAAAAACGTGTTTTACTACTAGCTAGCTACTGGGTTTTTTAAAATACTGGGTTTTTTAAAAATTCTCAGTAGTAGCACGGAGTCTGGAACTGTGCCCGGTATATGGCAATAGGCTCACCCCCTATTACATGGGACTCATAACATAAACAGTGAAAAGTGGGTGTTACATTGTACAGTGGTATAATGTGCACCTCTGCCTACCCCTTCGAGGATAAAAGGCGTGATGTTATGTTATGTATGTTATTTTTTACTACTAGCAGTAATCTTAATAATATCATAAAAATGACAAATTTTGTAAGGTTATGTGTTTCTTACCCAATCACATCAAAACAGCTTGACGGATCGACATGAAATTTGAATCAGGTATGGAATAATAATATAGGCTACTTTTTATCCCATGGGAAGGCAAACGTTAGTCATCAATAACTTTAAAAAAAGAATGGAAATCCTTATGTCAAGAGACCTAGTCATTAAATATAGAATCAAAGTAATCAAAAGAAACATTAATAAAGTAAACAATACTATAAAATTCGTATTCAAAGCTCAGAAAATACAATTAACACGAAAAAGGACTATAATGGTTTATGCAAAAGAGGTCGGTAGTCAATTCATTTCAGTCTAGCCTACAACTAGGTCATTTGATAATCGGCAGTTCGAAGTAATCAGCCTGAGAGAAGGGACCGTTACCAAGGTACGAATTTCAATATGAATGGCTTTATTTGTGGTCCGAAAGCATTATCAAAGCGACTAGTAGGCAATTATCATTCTAGAACATAGGACTTGATTTGATTTAAGTACGTTTACCGAGTGTAGCTACCCATATTAATATAAATGCGAGAGTAATTCTGTTTGTTTCGCCTTTACGGTCAAATGTCAGCGCCGATTGTAATGAGATTTGATGTAAGAGGCGATTCGGTTAGGGAACAACGAAAAGGGTATGTTTTTCAAATCAGTGTCTGTCTCGAGTGTGAGACAGACATGCTATTTGGTTTCAAGGCCACACTTAACTAAACCTTTTTATGATATTAATACATTTTTCTTAATATTCATTGCCCCTCACTAGGAGTTTCCCCTGTATCGTGGGTGACAACAACAATTATTGATTCATAGTCTTCTTTCTCTGAAAGGGTAAGTAAAAGATATGATTATACCTTTTCTTGACTCTTACGTATCACCTACGGTATCAAATTTATTTAGTTTAATAATAAAGCTGTCAACACTGAACGTTACCTAACTGGATTGAAGAGGAGCTCAGCTATTGCCTGGTAGTCTTCTCCTATTTCATACGATTATACCTCTATAACTGTTGAGCTTTTTTTATGGGATAAATCGGTATACAAGCAGGTAGATCACCTGATGGTAAGCAATCGACGCCGCCCATGGACACCTGGAACTTTATGGAAATTAGGAGTTTGAGGATTGTTGGGTATTCAGTATTTATTGAGGAGTTTGGGAAAGGGGAAGGGGTGGTTTTGCCTTGTGCTGTAATTTTGACTTAATAACTATAATCTTGGTTAAATCTAGTATCCAAATATTCTAACAGAACTGACTATTGTTATTGATATTTGATAGACACGGGACGTGAATGATTCAACGTGTTTTCAAAAGACAGATGATGTAAAGGCTTGCTGTCCATTCATAGACTGACCCCGCCGTAGATTGCTCTTATGTAACGCTTAGATAGTATTGACAACTAAATGAAAGTCTTCTGATATTGTGAGACTCATCTAAAAGTGTGGGAGAACTATGCTTTAGATATGGGCCGGCACAACCGGAGGTTTCACAGGATATATACCACAGCCTCTCAGAAAACCGACGTGAAACAGCGCTTGCGTTGTGTGTCGTCATGTGAGCGAGGTTACCAGAGGCCCAATTACCCTCCTTCCTAATCTCCCCAGTCCCCGAATCCCCAAAAGGCCGGTAAAGCATTTGGAACACGTCTGGTGTTTCGGTGTCCATACGCGACGCCGATTGTTTACTATCAGCTGATCCATCTGCTCGTTTACAGGCTTATCACATAATTGTTTTGCTTAGAATCGTTAAGTAAACCAAGTTAAGAATACTTAGAGACGAACAGCAAATTAATGGTCGTTACCCTTAAACTAAAGTATAATAATCGAAAAAATAAAGAACATCGAATAGTACCTACTTAAGATAAATTGCTCAGCAGACCGCGACCTTTGACCACTTAATCATATAATTATATCGTCAAAAAACATGAAGATTGATGACACAGTAATACAGAAACAGTAATTCCAACAAAATAGTTGTTAATAAAAACATCCATCATTATTATTTTCATATATTTTTATGTCACTTAGTTCTAAAGGTTTCACCTTTAGCCAATGACATGCAAGGCCGTATATAAATATCTGGCCTAATATACCCGTGTGGGGCAACTTTGCTTGTGTTAAATCATGTCACGAGAATTTAGATGCTCCATTTATCTCTAGTTGTCTCCTTGTTGCTTTATAGTTCCTGAAGAAGAATTGGCCCTCTGGGACTGCAAGAGGATGGAGAGTTAGATGGTGTTGTGTTGTAGCTATTGTGTGTGATACAGTAGCGTCAGGTATTTACGAATAATACTTTAAACAATGTTTTCAATATTAATAGTTACTTTTAAACCTTCTCTTGACTTCCCCGAACATTTCAAGACAAAAATTAGCTAAATCGGTTCAGCCGTTCTCGAGTTTTAGCGTGACTAACGAACGGAAGTTCAATTTTATTTACATAGACTAGCACGGACTAGCATAGTGACTGCACGGTTGGTGCGGTGGCTGGGCAACCGGCTGCTGTGCAACGTGTCGCGGGTTCGATTCCCGCACGGAACAACACTTTGTGTGATCCACAAATTGTTGTTTCAGGTCTGGGTGTCATTGTGTATGTGAACTTGTATGTTTGTAAACGCACCCACGACACAGGAAAACATCCTAGTGCGGGGCAACGTTTTGTTTAAAAAAAAATAGATGCCTATGAACAATTTAGATGCATCAGTAATTTTAAACCATGGACAATAATAACAATCTTATTACTGTGCTTATAAATAAGTGTACCTAATACAATGCATTGATGTCATTCACCGTCTCAATTTATTCAATTCATTAATACTTTCAACGTTTACTCAACGATGACCCACTACGTAAACATCAACTAAATAGCTAATTATCGGTCCAAATAATTTGTTTATGATACACAAACTACATGATAATATGTTGACTTAATATGTTCTCATAGTGAAACATATCGTGTATTCATGTTCCGAATATCAAAGGATTTAAACTCATCCAAAATATATTCATCAAGGACCCACCCTTACTTAGTGTGTTAAAATAAATTGGTTTCCGGAATTTGTGATGACTATTAATACATTCATTGGTGAGTAAGCACTTAATCAAATTAA